ACAAATATATGTTGTGATTGGTGTTCTATCACTTTTTTTGAATTTTTGTCACTTTTTTGGGTGTTTGTCACATTTTTAAGATTTTTATCGTATTTTTGAGTGGCAAACATGGGTTTTGGTTGTTGTTTTTTTGTCACTTTTTCGAAATTTTTATCACTTTTTTTATTGTTTGTTAATTTTTTAAAATTTCTGTCTCGTTTTTTAGAAACAAACATAGGTTTTAATTGGTATTTTGTCACTTTTTTTAGTGTTTGTTATTATTATTATATTATTTTTTTGAGTGTCACTTTCCTTTCCTTTTTGTAGGATTGAGATTTAATAGTCCTTCAAAAGTGTTGATTTAAAGGAAAGGTCACGTTATATTCTCCGCACAAGATAATAACGGAATTAAATAAAAATTTAGTCATTTTATTGATTTGATTTTAATGTTTTAATTGATATTTTATCACTTTTTGAGCATTTGTCAGTTTTGAGTTTGTGCCGCTTTTTTAATTTTTTCTTTTCTTGTGTCACTTTTTTTAATTTTTGTCATTTTCTTAATATTGTCACTTTTTGCTTATTTGTTACTTTTTTATTTTGTGTCACTTTTTTTTTTTTTTAAATGTGTAACCTTTTTATTTTGTGTCACTTTTTTCAAATTCATCACTTTTTTTTTATAATTTTCTGTTACTTTTTTGAATTTTTGTCATTTTTTTAGCATTTGTCACTTTTTTTTAAATTTTTATTATTATTTTTTTTTTTTGTATTTGTCACTTTTTCAATCGCCTTTTTGACTTTTTTTATTGACCAACATCACTTTTTAATAAAAGTGACATTGTATATCATTTTTTAATAAAAAAGTAACACTAAATTTTTAAAATGAGGCATGACTTTTATAATAAAAAAAAAAAAAAAAAAAGTAACATTGTGTCACTTTTTTAGTTTTACGGAAGATTTTTTTACTTTCAAAAATTTTTTCAAATGCTTTTTAATAGACCCTTAATTTTAAAAGTATTTTTGTAAGTTGTCCTTATTTTCTTTCAGGCCCGGTCAGTAGCCTTGGGCCTCTAGATGTATGGAGCCTAAAAACTAAGTAAAAGCAATAATCCATTTTCTTTTTCTTTTAAAAAATTTTGGGAAAGATAGTATAGGAAATTTGTGGAATTTTCTTGCGGTGAGTATTTCCTTGAAGATGTAGTAGTAGTGCAAATAAAATAGAAGGCTATCTAGACTAGGACTAGGCTAAAGTCAATCCTAGCCGTTCAAATCGGCCAATTCAACCCAAATAAATCAATTTGGATTGGTTTCTAAGTTCAATTGGGTTGGGTTGAATTGAAAAATTAAATTTGAAATTGGTTTGGGTTGGGTCTCGGGTTATGGATTAAAACCCAATCCAATGAAGTAAAAGATTTAATACCTAGAATGGAAAAATCTAAATAGATATAATAGTGGAGACAAGAAGAATCTAGAATGTATTATATGTTCCATGTTAACCGTCATTTCCTTGAAGATGTAGTAGTAGTGCAAATAAAATAGAAGGCTATCTAGACTAGGACTAGGCTAAAGTCAATCCTAGCCGTTCAAATCGGCCAATTCAACCCAAATAAATCAATTTGGATTGATTTCTAAGTTCAATTGGATTGGGTTGAATTGAAAAATTAAATTTGAAATTGGTTTGGGTTGGGTTGGGTCTCGAGTTATGGATTAAAACCCAATCCAATAAAGTAAAAGATTTAATAGAATGGAAAAATCTAAATAGATATAATAGTGGAGACGAGAAGAATCTAGAATGTATTATATGTTCCATGTTGACTGTCAACAAACTCGCCGAAAAATAGAATGGACTAAGACAAAGCAAAGAAAAATTATGTAAGTCAACAAAGCCGGTAATAGGATCAGGAGTTGGAAGACAAGTGGGTCTTGCAGAGCCTCCAGCTCTTCGCCACACCAACCATCAAATACGAGATTTGGCTCCTTCTCAAAGATTTGATGGAATGGCCTACCCCACCCAAGAGCACTTATGTTACAAACGTCCTCTTTTTTTATATAAGTTGATAGGTATGAATACTATGGGCTTGTCTGGGAGAAATTAAAAGCAAAAAAGTGACCATTGGCAGTAATTTTCCTACTGTTGCAGCCCACAACTTTTGACCGCTTGTGTGTGAGGTTGGACCCGTAGCTTGGACCAACGGCTCTATTTTGGTTGAAAATTTGGTGAAAAGGCACAGCCAGACAAGGGCCTATGTATAGATGCAGAATAATTTGACGATAAACTAAAGATTAAGGGCGTTATAATAAAATTAATAAATTTCAAAGAAATTATAAAACGAAAATACTCCCTAGTTTCAAATTTATTTATAAATTAATTTTCAGAAAGAATTTCTTATATAGATTAAAAGTAACGGAGATTTTCAAGTGATATTAAACTTTAAAAATTATTCAAATTTAACAAAAAATAATTGGTCTAACTTGAAATGGGCCCAAACCGACCAATCCAACCCGAATCAATCAAAGCTTAATCGATTTGGATTGTATAAACTAATAATTGAATTGGGTTGGGTTGGGTTGATTTTTTAGATCAAACCGACAATGTTAGGTTGGGTTAAAGTTGATAAAAAAAACCAACCAAATCTAGCCCATGCTGACCCTAATCTCCATACTCAACAATGATCCTTTTTTTTTTTCAAATTATTCATGGTCAATTTTGTTCCTCGTATTTGATTGATACTTTTGAATTTACTTTTTAAATATAAAATATTTTGAATAATAAATGGTAGCCATCATCGTCATACCTTACTAATTAGCCTTTTGTGTTCTATTTCTTGAATGCGAGAATTAATTCTTAGACAAATTAAATAGTAAGTATCATTGAAATAACAATCCTCATTCACTTGTCTAGGGCAAATGTGGCCCTGGATTTTTTGGGGGGCACATGCAAAAACCTCTTTAATTACTTTCACTACGGACAGGTCCATGCGGATGATCAAATCGCTCAGAGTTATTCTTTACTAGTGGTCCAATGCCTCTAATTTAATTTGGGAAAATTTAATGTGTGGGAGATTAAGTATCACTCATTTCAAAACTAAAATACAAAGTTTAAAACTTCAAAAATAAGATATTAATTAAATTTTATTTGTGAAATAATTAATTAAAAACATATTTTATAAATTAAATATATTAACGTCACAATTCTATATAATTTGAACACAGTTATCATAATAATTGGTCATAAATTATTTTTCGATTACAAATCAAAAATTTTATAGATCATAATTTATTTCACGGTCATAGATCAAAATTTTCATAGTTCACAAATTGCTCATCGATCACAAATCAAAAAAATTAGAGGTCCCAATTTATTTATCGATCACAAATTACAAATTTTATATATCACAATTTATTACACAGTAAAAAATTATCGAGTTATTAAGAAAATTTTAGGTCACATATTATTTATTGGTCCCAATCACCCAAATAGTTTGTGACCACCGCCAATACTATTGCCTCCATTCGCACCTCCGTCAACTCTGTCGCCCGACAACACCATCGTCGTAGCATGCTTCTAGCGCCATAGGCACTACAACAAACTACCATTTATCAACTTCAAAACCAACCCCACCCCACGACCAACAAACTACTATTTTCAACTACAAAACCACCGCCAGTGTTAATGTCAACACCAACACCAACACCACCACCACCACTATCATCGTCACCGCCACCCGCACCACTACCACCATCTTACCATCAACGTCACGGCTAGCAGAAGCAACAGCACCACCTCCTGTACCAAAGATCACAACCACCATCTCCATTACACTATACCCACCAAAAAAATTCCCAAACCCGCTGCTGCCACCATCATTGCATCACTGTTACCACCTTATCAAATCCATAGCAGACTGCAGTCCACAATCACAACGTCGCTACAAGTCGTGCGATCGCTGCTGCAGCCTGCACGCTTGTAGCAACGCTTACTGTGTGCAGCGAGGCACTGCTGCGCCGTGCGACGATCACAAGGTACCGCTGCAAGAGGACCAGATCGGTGTAGCGATTGTGTTGCGCCACTATGGTAGCACAGTGCTGCTACAAGAGGGGTAGATCGGCGTCACAATAAAGATGGTGGGTGGTATAGAGAGGGATAAAGATAGAAGATGGAGAGAAATGATTTGGGTTGGGCGTAAAATTGGGATGAAAAATAGAAAAGGCTGCAGTGGGATTTGTGGGTGGGTTTGTAGATAAATATAATTTTATAATATTGTTATTAATATCTAAAAGATAATTTTCATTTGATTTTTGAATAAAAATTCTTTCAACCTTATTTTTGAATTGAAAACTTAATAACTATGTGGATATAATTTCCACATTTAATTTTCGTTTTTCCCTTATGCAGTTGTTCTCTGATCTTTGTTCGTTATTGTTGGATGTTGACTTTGTTTCCCACAATGTAAACGGCTTGGCCGATATACTAGCATCAGTTGTTGTCTTGAGCGTCCAAAAGTTATGTCCATCATATTCCTCATTTTCTACCGATACATAAAAAAATATACATAATAAATTACATAATATGACGTGGAGGGAAAGGATTTGATGAAAAAGTTGATTGTATTTTAAATTGATAAATGTTAGTATGCCTCGTGACATTATGTAATTCACTGTATACGTTGCAAGATTCAAAATTCATTACTGCAAATGTTTCGTTTGACCTTCAAAAAATGTAGAGCTGAGATCTCTAACGTTTGAACCCGATTACCGAACAAGTAGATTAGCATCTTAAATCTGAATCTTCAATGATAAGAATAAGCTTCGATCAACAATTTTAAAGAGAAAACTGAGATAAATTGAGTTCATAGTATCCTCCTTCCCGACACTAATAATTACAAGAATATGAACTATAAATTCATAGAAATATATATTTTCTTTTTTTGGGTACTACAAGCATTGGCTAACCAATTTCAGTCCCCGATCACATAATAATGACCTTTTCGGTTTGATGGATCATACAACAGTAACAAAAAATATAAGTTAAAATCTTGTCTATTCTACTCGGTGTCCAACCACGCTGAGACAAGCAGCACGGCCAATTAAAAGTTTTAATATAAAGAACCTAACACTAGGTTTCCAAACATTTATTCCATTATTACAAGTCACTTCTCTATCTCCACAACGATATATAAATGTGCATGAAGCCGCAATTATAAAATCTAAGGAAATTGAGAATAGTCCAAGACAATATGTCAGTGAAAAATCTAATATTCCATGCAATGCTGCATGTTGAGCAACTTTTCGACTACACTTTTTGTTATACTATTGATGCCAGATGACCTGAAGAGATATCAATCTCATTGCCAGGAAGCAAAACATTTGTGTCCATGGATAGCTGACAGCATCAGAATAAGAACGCATGACCCTCCATTAACGCTTGACCCATTGGAAGCTCTTTCTTGCTTTGGCTTTACCAGGCTTTTTCCTTTCCACGACTCTTGGATCCCTCGTGAGAAAACCAGCTGAAAGAAAATGATATACCGGATTAAAAAGTGTCAAACTATCATGATTGAGAACGAGATCGATATGTTAGCACTGGAACTCGTTTTGGACACTATCTTTAAGGGTAATAGCGAAAATTTGGATATATCAATAATGCATGCATTTCCTACAAAACCTGATCTAGGAAAGAAAAGTATTTCATTGGCTTACAAAAATTGAGAAAAAATAAGTATATGATCCAACAAGTCATACCGTCTCTGAGAGGAGGACGCAAGCCTGGTTCCCAGTTTTGCAATGCCCTGCTGATGCCCAAACGGATGGCACCAACTTGACCTGTTGAAAATGCGAACTTTTATTACCATATAATAATGTACAGTACAAGAAGCATACAATCAAGATATATAACTGGAAATATAAGTGAAGGAGTTTCCAACTAAAATTGGGTTTAGAGCTTCCAATTCAAGACTGCAGTTTCCAATCTGAGTGAAATAGCAAAAACTAATGATTTAGAGCTAAGTTTCGACCATTGGAGCTTTGATTTCATGTGCCCATTGAGTCCACAGTATAGCTCTCTAACTTGATGGTATGGTAATTTTTCAAATCAGGGCTGCATGGAAGAATTAGACTGGATGGCTACTAGATCAACAACGGTTTTAACATGGCTAGCACAATGATCCCACTTGTATTTACTTTCTCCTGATCTAGCCTAGACCCAATCTAATCCCAGACTACATGGAAAATACTATAATTCAACAGTCAAACTGATTACGCATCAAATATATGTATATAAATCAATGCTTACCTGATACGCCGCCTCCTTTAACAGTACAATTGACATCCCAAATACCCAAAGTTTTAGTTTCAGAGAAAGGCCGAAGAAGTGCAGCACGGTGATCAAGCATCGGGAAATACACGTCAAACTCTTTGTCATTTACTACAAAATTACCCTCACCAGGTTGAATCCAGACACGTGCAATGCTGCATTTCCTCCTTCCTGTTCCATAAGCCCTTCCCTTATCGTCTACTTGTCTGACACGTGAATTGGCAACTTCCTCCTGTTTCTGGCGCTCTATTTCAGCCCTACTGGATTTTTTGGTGTTCTTTTCGTAACGCTGATCTTCAATATCCCTTAGAGGGGGCAGTCCTTGAATGCCTTCAAAGTCTTTCAAAGCAATCAAATTATCTAACATTGCATCTGTGATTCCAGATGCTGCTATAAGATCCCCAAATGCACGATTTGGACCTGAAAGAAGTGATGTGATGATAAATGTTATCTTCCAATACTATTGTGTATAGATGACCTGTATAAGAAAATTGTTAAGACTTTGCCCCTTCACCCGACCACCACACACATGGAAAAACTAGATTTCACTCAGTAACAACCTTCACGTGTAAAGGCCACAATCATAGGATGTCTGATGAGTAGAATTACGAAAGAAACTTCTAATGGAGCTTTACAGAGAAACATTCTGCATAAAAATGCAAATGAGATGAGAATAAAAGAAGTAGAATTATAAAGAAACTTCTCATAGAGTTTTAGTAATGCATGTATCCATGTGTTGTATTTTCAAGACCTAGACAACTATCACCCATCTTCAAAAGCTTGAGCATAATAGGAACTAAGTGGATCCTGAAGAGGTATGATGAACCAGACTCAAAATATGTGGTAATTGCAAATCCTTAGTTTTAATTTAGGAGTTGAATCAAAAGAATAAAAAGCTAAATGGTATATATAATGGCAAGATGATAACGGCAATTGAGCTGAAAAATCAAGACAGCAACACGACCTATTCCAAAGCAACTTCAGCTCTTGACCTTTAAGTTATTTATAATTATGATTTCCATTTGTGACTAACAAAAAACAATAAAATAGTGAAAATGTTTGGTATATCAATATTACTGCAGTGGAAAGAACTAGTGGGCATGAACCAACAATTAAAAGCTCTGGGTAGGATACTGTTTCGAAACACAGAAGCAATACAAACAATGGATGTTAGAAAAACGGTCTGCAGATGTGAAATCCACCACATTAAAGTTACATACAGTCTTATTTCCTAGTCATGACTAGTCTTGAATCCTACTAGCCAAAGCATACTATTAATTCTCAATAAGCAACCAGAAATATCAGATACATGAATAAGCCTACATATCTTTCATACATGGTACATCAACACAGTAAAGTCACTATAAACAATAACGAAACAATCATCAAACTATAAGCTCAAATACTATCCCTCCCACTTATCGCATTTCCAAAATTTACCCAAAGGAATATATATATATCCATGCATATTAACTCCAAAAAGAACCTAATTTTGCACTAAAACCAAACCAAAACCACCAAAATTCTATATTAAACACAACAAACAAGTCCAACAATTCAACATCTGGATCTAACTTAACTGGCAATGCCATCAAACTGAATTATCATTAAGACACAAATATATTGGAATTGTACAAATAACAAATTAAGTCCCCGTTTGAGCCAAATTATTGTAAAAATAAGAATGAAAAATATAGTTATTACACAACAAGAGATAAAAAGTCAAATATGATGGCTTGACGGATGACGGTCATATTTTTCATTTTATCCTGGAAAGAATGGAGCTCCAACAGGTTATAAAAAGGAAAGTAATCTTGCCTTTAAGTACAGCAGTGAGAGCCTTCTCTTCTACTTCGAGCTGCTTCTCTTCGGTTCTCCTTTCACTTCCTACACTCACCTCCCTGACACTTTCAAAGCCACTCAACCCCATTTCTCCTTTCTCCTCTCCAACACCAAACACATCCTCATCTTCACCATCCTTTCCCTCAGCAGCGAAACTCCACGGCTCATTCTCCTCCGCGGTGGTCCAGACCTGGCCTCCACCATCGATCTTCTCTTCCACCCTTCTAAATATATCACTCTTTCCGCCCTTTTCTTCAACCCCTTTAAACATACCATCTATCCCATCATCACCATTTTTCATTTCCTCAGCATTTTGATCATGGATGCCCTCTAAAGTTCCAGACTCTACAGAAAACACAGAGTCAATATCTTGATTAATTTCTGAGTTTAGCTTCCACAAATCTGAAGTTGAGGTTGCTGAATCGTCACCAAAGTTTCCATTACCGTTTCTATTTGTGGAGAAAAACGAAACATTGGGGGTTTGGGAGGATAAACGGAAGGTGAAAAATGGAAACGAGGGATTACGGGATACGGGTTTCGGACTTAAGATGTGGGCTTGTGATGAAATTAGGGTTCGGAAACGCTGTAAGTGTGAAAATTTGGAGATGAAGCGAGAAAGCATTGTAGACGGTATAGAACGCGAACTGGAGAGAGAAAGAGAGAGAGGTGGAGGGGTTTACAAATGGGGGGTTAACAGAGGCGGACCTAGAAAGTTTTTCTATATGAGTACCTGTAGTATGAACAAATATAAAATTGAAAAGTTAACTAACAAAAAGAATCAAATTATCATACTGTGGATGAAAAATAGTAAAGACCTAAATTTTAAAATCCAATTTCAAATTTTACCAAGAAATTAAATGATATATATAATGAATTAGAGAATCTGTAGGATAGAAGAAGACGAAAACAAACTGCATTTCTCAATTCTCATTGATACATGAAATAAAATGATTTGCAGGAATAAAAAAAAAAAAGATAAATACAGTCATACATTATATGGGAACTTGATTGTTTGACAACTTGAGAGTTGAGAAACTGGAAGGCAGTATGTGGCGGAAGCAAGCAGGAAGCAATCGTCGGTTGCGTTACTCGCGTTGCAATCGGGTCGAAGGCTCGAAGTCAATCCAGTAGCAACAGGGGCGATTATTCTACGATTTCTTCTCCAATTCTCAACTTCTACCACCATTTGATTCAACCGAGCCGCCACCTCCTCAGTCATATGGGAGTTAATTGCTCTAATGATCACTGAACTTAGGTCAAAGTCTTTGATCAGTCACTGAACTTTAAAATGTCGAGTTTTAGTCATTGAACTTAAGTTCATGTCTTTAATTGACCATTGAAGTTTGAATGTCAAGTTTTGGCTACTAAATTTTGAAAAATGTCGAGTTTTAATCACTGAACTTGGGTCCATGTCTTCAATTGCTCACAAAAGTTTAAAATATCAAATTTTGGTCACTAAATTTTGAAAAATATTGTCCATTATTCACTGTAAACTTGATATTTTTTAAAATTCAACAGTTATGCTAGTGAGTAATGTAGGGTATATTTCAAAGTTCAGTGGCCAAAATTCGACTTTTTAAATTCCAGTGAGCAATCTAAGATATTGACCTAAGTTCAATGACAAAAACTCGACATTTTAAGTTTCAGTGATCAATCAAAGATATAGACCTAAGTTCAGTGATCAAAACTCTACATTTTTCAAAATTTAGTAGTCAAAACTCGACATTTTAAAGTTCAATGGTCAATCAAAGGCATAGACTTAAGTTATGTGACCATTGGAACAATTAACTCATCATAAGGTATGCTAAACGTAAATAAAATTGGTCCAATTAATTGGCCCATTTCAAATTTTTTTTTTTTTTTTTTTTTTTTTTTTTTTTTCGGGGGGGGGGGGGGTGGGGTTT